AAATTTAATTTAGTTAGTTCTTGTTTCTTTCTGTCTTCTATCTCTTCTTTTTCTTTCTTTTTTTTGTTTGTGTGTGTGTGTGTGTGTGTGTGTGTGTCATTGGTGGGGCTGATTCTACTTTCTTTCGATGAAGTTTCATTTACACGTGTTTTACTTATGTAATATGCAGGCAGATCATGCATTTTCTACCTTCTATAGTGATGTAGAAATTTTCAAAATTTTTGATTACTTAACTTTCCACTTTCATGATGGTATCTTGTGGTCCAGAATTATTAAAATTACTGATTCCCTGGTGGGACAGTGGTAAGTCTATGAATTTGCAATGTTAAAATCTGGGGTTTGATTCCCCACGGTGGACACAGCGGATAGCCTAATGTGGTTTTGCTACAAAACAAACAGTTAAAATTACCTTTTAGCAGTGGCTTTGTTCTCTTTAGAAGATATCATTTCTGCCAACAAGAATATTTCAGTATTGTGTAGAGCATCTGGGTTGAATGGTTTGGCACTGAAATATCCTTTGCTGGCTTATTAGGGAACAAAGGTCATGAGGTGACATCATACACAGGACATAGAAAGAAAGTTTACATTCTAGATTTGAGTGTGCTTTCTTAGTTCAATTCTCTTCTAGATATTCTATGGGTAGGGTGTGTTTTTTTGAAAATCATCATGTTTAGTTCAGCAGCAGTCAATCTTATGAGTTGGGAAGCTTAAGAGCTAAACACAAATTGGTGAAGGAATGATTGTCTGCTTGTCCATGTAGGTATGTGTGCTGCGTTTTATGCTTTCAATTTTATTTGTGTAATAAAGGTTTTGTACATTCTTATCAAGTTGTCCAGACTCTTTGATTCCACATCTTAAAACAAAAACTCAGTTGAATTATCTTTCTCATAAACTTATTTCATCTCCAGGCTTTGTTGCAATCTGTCAACAGTTTTTTAGAAAGAGATAAATACTTTATAGTGCTGTATTGGTATTATCAGGCTTTATTTTGCACGATGTTGAAGTAGGACTGACTATTCTGGAATTCCTAGTTTATACCAGGCATTTCTTTCTGCCACTCTCTCCTTTCCAATCTTATCAGGTTGAATCTGTTTTATGGTATAATCAAGTGGTTACTACATGTTTTCTTAACTTTTTGTTTTTGAGTACATTGACACATGTATTTGTCATCAGCCTCTTCTTTTCACTTTCTCTTACCCTAGTTTAGCAACTCCTTCAGGAGTTAGAAATTCTTTCATTTTAGAACAAAAGAGTTTTCAAAAATTTTGTTCTCATTAATAGTTGGTTTTGCAGATTCATAGTCATTATTTTGTCTTGAATTTGTGGAATCCTTTTTGTCTCAAAAAGGAATGTGTACTGGAGTTTTTTAGTATTACATATCACATTATATTTACCTCCACGTGACTTCACCTCATTACCTGTCCATTTCTTCATTATTCATGTTGATGTCGTTATTGACTGATTTTGATCCTTTCCCTTGAATTTTTTAACAACCACAAATTTTCCTGTATTTAAGTGATTTCATTTTTGATTTGTTCTTTTGGCTAATTTTCAGAGTTTGATGCTATTCCATTATAATTGCATCGTTGCTACTATGAGTTAAAAGTGTGATTATTTCCTGAGTTTATACAGTTATCCATTTGATTAGTCATTTTTGTTATTTTGTTTTCCATCTTATGTTTGGCTGCCTCATTTTTTTACCAGCTCACTTGGTACTTATTTTGATTCTGTTGTATCTCACATTATCTACTTATTAGAATCTCAAACTTGAGAAGGATTATTGTTAACCTGTTTCACCTGAGTATAAAAATCGTGTTATTCTCTGTACAAATTAGTTTCCATAGACAACACCAGTTGTTTTTAGGCTGCACTCTTGCACACTTACTGTATTCTCTAATGGTTTCAACTACACATATGTAGTTATTAATATAGTTGTCATTTTATTTTTATGTAAAAGTTTTGTAAGTGACAACAGTTAACTGTTTATTTTTCTTCAACTTAAATTGGAAAATACTTTTTCATTTGGCATAATTTGTTTGTTTCTCTTGTTATGAGTTATAAAACAAAGTTTATTCTCTGAGTATGTAGAAATCATGTTTTTAGTCTTTTTGCCATATTATATTTGGCGAGAGTAAAACATGCCTTAGACTTAAGCTAGGAATTATTTTTCTTCCCATCCAATTTTCTATTGTTAGCACTTTAGAGAAATGTTACCCTACACTAATAAGAAGTTTTTTTCAATTAAAAACATAATAAACTTTTATAATAGTACAGTAAGCTTAATAATTATTAGAATTATTTTTGTTGTTTTTTCCCTACAGAACCAATCATCTAGTATCATGCAGAGAAGTATACTTGGCCAACTCTTGCCTGAGGCCATGGTTTGCTATTTAGAAAACCATGGAGCAGAAAAATTTGCTCAGATTTTCTTAGGAGAATTTGACACCCCTGAAGCTATATGGAACAGTGAAATGAGGTTTGATGTGGTCATTGTACTACTGGGTATTCGTTTGTTCGAGATAAAAATAATTTTCTTGTTTTTATACTTCTTACTGTTTGTGAATTCGCATATTGGTGTAAATATTTATAACAGCTGCAAACTTGAATATTTGTAAATTATTGAACAAATAAAAAAAAGGTTGACTACACTAAATATGTAATATTTTGAATTTTCTTCTCCTCACTGAAATGACACGTTTCAGTGAAGAAAAGAAATAATTCCTGAATGGCTTACATGTGTAATTTACTCTTTGCTTCATTATTTTTTCTGAAGTATGCCGATTGCATAGCTCATCTGTACTTTTATAATATGTCAAATTGGTTAGTTACGCATAATTGAAACATAAAGAATAAAAATTGTAGTAACAAGGATTTTGGATTTCTCATCCATTAAACTTTATGTACATAATGCTGAAGCTGTACCCAAAGACTTTTAAATGAAATGTTACTAAATTCTTTAATTCAAGTTACATAATATACTAGTAGAAGGAGCTAATTCACTATTCATGGAGCATTTGACAATAAAACTTTCTACAAAGGTGGGTTGATTTGCTCATCAAATGGTGTGAATGGTGTTCAAAAAATCACGACTAAACATAGTATCCTAACTTATTTCAGTACTTAAAATACCAAACACTGAATATTTCTAAATAGCTTTTGATATCTGATACAACTTAAGAAGAAGTATTTATTTTATGACTTTTACAGAATTATATTTTAATACTTGTGCTTCCAAACAACCCAAAGTAATTTCATATTTGTTACAACAACAGTTTACAAGATACAGTTCAACATGCAACTGCCAATAGTGTGTACTTTCATTTTGGTTTTAAAATTTTTATTCTTGAAATCTTTAAACAGAGTCCAGTTTTTTACTTTTTCTTAGACGACTTATGATTGAAAAGATTGCTACCCACATAGCAGAATTCAGCCCTCGTCTTCGTTCCAACACCAAAGCCTTGTACCAGTATTGTTCCATCCCAGTGATCCAATATCCTCAGTTAGAAAACGAGCTCTTCTGTAATATTTACTACTTGCGACACTTATGTGACACTCGTCGTTTTCCAGACTGGCCAATTAAAGATCCGGTAAGAACTACACATTGGATCATTACATACAATGTTACTCTATTGGAAGAATAGGTCTGAAGTTGACAGTTTTTATTTCTTTTTTTTATCATTAAATGAGTGTTTCAAGCACTCAGTTTAATCTTTCCTCAGACACTCAGAGAGCCTTGTCTAGAAAACAGTATGCCACTTACTTCAAATTTAAAGTTTAGGTAGACTTTTTAAAGATAATAATTACATGTGAATTTAATTACTATTGTGAAAAGTATAAATTGATTATATTATTTTATAAAAGTATAAAAATCAAGATTTCCAGCATTCATTTCAGAATTGAATTTTGATAGGCCATCGAGCCTACCCATGACCATTTTGGTGGGTCAGAGTGCAGAAAATGTGGGCCATGACAGAAAGCACATATCTTAACAATAACTACTTCTTAAAGTATTCAAATTATGTTATCATTTGTATCACTCACAGCTGTTCTTGGCTATTATCATTCAGGTTTGTTTTTCAAATAACAAAAAACGTATGCAGTGCTAATGATGTAAGGAAATTCTGCCACAGTTACTTGACTTTCCAGGTTTTTGTTTCTCAGCTAGATTTTAGAATTTTTTTTATTATGTAAGTATTGTTATATCATGTTTTGTGCACTAACATTTTTTTTGAGAGAGAGAAAGGGAGAAAAACTGATATAATCATAGATGTAATTAAATTCTTGTATTTTATTTTATAAATCTAGAGTGGTTTCACTGTTTTGTATTCAACCATATCATTATTACTGATACAGAACAAGAGCAAATAAATCAAAACCCAATTAGTCTAACACATTATTTTGTTTGAAATATTGCCTGATGGCTTGAGACAACAACAAAAGAAATGTATGGGGCAAACGAGTCTTCAGTAACTGTTTGCAAAATTAAAACTTGCATTTTGAGTGTTCAGATGTTAATTCTGGTAGTCCTGTCTAAAACTGTAGAAGAAAGTGGGTAAAAGGCACCATTCTAGCATATAAGATGTTTCTTGCTTGCTAAGTAAAGTATTACAAGTTCAATACTAACTAGCATTGAACTACACGTTAAAACTTGCTTAAGTAATGGAACATCATTGAATCTTTGTATAACAGTATGCTTATTTATGATATGTGTAAACAAAATTAATCCTGCTCTATAAGAGAGAGAGAGAAACTTGCTATATTCAGAAACAATAAAATAGTAGTATTTATATAAAATTGGACAAACAATTCGGAAGGGTGGACATTGTGTCCTAAGCACTGGTTTTGAGGGGGGGCTTTACATTCACATGGACACCAATTAATGGAAGACTTTTTCAGTTTTTCTTGTCTCTCCAGTGTACCAGAGCAGGTACAAAGTCATTTGAAATGCAGTAAAGGTCCCTCGAGGTACACTATCATCAGATCATTCACTCTGTCTACAAAAAAGTCTATTTCTGCTTGAAGTCTTGATTGCATTTTGAGAACAAAATCCTCACTTGGAATCTGCAGTGTGAACTGTTGCTGTGAAAGCTTCAACATCTTTGGGAATTCTCTGCGGTATTTCTTGATCAAGAACCAAAGATCACACATTTTGTCTCCTGGGTAGCTCTCACAACAGACTGTGGTCTTCAATCCTTTCATTCCTCTCTGCTTTTGGTAGGATCAGTTATGGCTTGGTCAGTCACCATCCTGTCATTGGTTTGTCTTGATTCTAAGGCACTGTACTTGGCTATGAGAGTGTCTATGTTGTCAGGGCCTCACTTTGATCTTTCTTCTGCTGACAAGAAAAATATTGGTTTGAGACAAAGAACACTGAAAGCTTGTGTTATGTCTGAATCCTTCTTTAGAAAATGTGAGTGGCAATTTTCTATCAGCTGGTCAATGAAGACTGTCCTCCAGTTATCTAATTTGCATTTTTCTTCAAGAACATGCTGCCCATTGTGCAACACTTTCCCTCACTCAGAGTTCAACTGCATATTGTTCTTGAGTTCCCTCAGATAGTCTGGGACCTCAGTAATACCATTTTTTACTTTAATCACATCATTCTCAAAGGCATCTATTGTGCCCTCAGAATGTACACATCTATGTCCCTCTTCTGGAGTACTAAGCACAGCTTTGAGACAATTGTAAAGATTGTTATCAGAAGATAGGTTGTTGCAATAAAGTCATTTTGATATCTTTTTCAAGAACCCCTTTCTTTTGCACTCTTGGGATATTCTGAGTTGAAGTAGGTAATCAAGGCATCAAGAAAACAATAATGTACAAGATGGCTTCATAAATAGCCATCCATTTCACTTCATGTACCTTCCTGATCTTCACTTAAGGTAAATCAAGCACCTTTTGTATTTCTGCAATTTGTTCTGTGAGGATGGCAAACACCTTGAAATAAAAAACAGAGAAGTGAGAACTTCTTGGTATTTCACTAGGTATGGAATTGATTTTGCAGCTTAGGATGTTATTAGAGCTGACTTGTGGATGATACAATGATAATTGGTTATCACGGGATTTTCATCCAACAATAAGCTTGTCACACCTTTTTTTTTTTGTTTTTTGCTGCTGCTGCTGCTTATGACACTTCTTTCATTGCTTCCAAGACCCATTACTTTTGTCATGAGTACACCTCTTTTTCAATAGATGCTACTTTATGGTTTGAGGCACATTCTATTTGGTATTTTCAAATCTGCAGAAAAGTTGGTGAAGGCTTTGTATGATTCTGGGTCTATGGACGTGGTGTAAATGGCAAGTTTCTTATGCACCACTATGTCAGTTCTCTCATCAGCAAATACACTGATAAAAGGTGATTTTTCACTGTGAGTGTTCAAATCCTTCCCAATGACTGCAACAAGACTCTGAAGAAAATCATAGTTTTTGATCCATGTGTAGCATCTTCAGCTTGTCATCTCCTGGGCATTTCACTTCAGATAACAATTCACCAAACTGTCATATTTGTGCAGTAGAAGATTTTGTTTTTACCAACCAGTAGACTACTTTTAGGCCAATGATGGCAGCCTCTTCTTTTTTAGAGAGAATTCTTTTAACAGCTTTCTCAAGAACACCTTCCATTTTCTCTGCTTCAACTGCAGTTTTATGGCCACTCTGAAGAGCATGACAGGTCAATGAACTTGTTCTTAAATTATTGGTGCCCTTCATAAAGGAATTGCCTTTTCTGTGTCTCTTGCATAGGTCACATGTCATGGTGTTAGATTTTTCATGATACCATAACCAGGAAACTTTAGCAAGAAATATCTGTTGGAAATGGTGAGCATCCTGTCTGTCATCAACATGTTCACCAACATTGCTGTTCTTCTCAGTCTCTTCACATATTTCAGTGTTTGTTTGATCTTCATCTGCACATAAAAATGTTATTTATTTGATCATCATCATTTTTTATTATAATTAGTATGTCAGGAACTTGTACAACCTCTTCTGACTGAAAACTTTCAAACTGATGTCAGATAAGTTGCTTTGACTTTATGGCTACATTATGATGTCAATCCATTCACCTACTTAGAAAAACCTAACTTTGACTCCCATACCGAAGTTCCATCCGGAAAAAAAAAGCAACCCAGCAATAACAGCCAACAGTTTTGATAGTTTATAATTAAATCATAAATTAAAATGATATTAAAGTCAGGGGTTGAAATTATTCAAAATTTGCACTTGTCCAAATGCAAGTGAACCATCATAGTTGACTTGCCCACAACAGATTCAGCTTGCCCAAAATATTCATGAGGAAGTAAATTACTTTTTTAAGGGAGATAAGAGATTTCGCTCTGCATTTCCAAAATGTGTATATTTTATTTCCCAGCCATTCCTCTACAAAATGTCTTATTACCTGGCCTCCATGGTTACTGTTTGTAAATAGACGATGTTGTTGTTTCTACAATCGATTATAACATTCTTCTCGTCATGTATTTCTGTTGTGCCTAATTATTTCTATAGCAAATGTATGATGTGTAAAATAAATTTTTAACAATTATGAGTATAAAAATGTGTTTTTGTCTTAAATCATGCAACTTAAGAACATCTCACTTAATATAAGTATGTCTATCTTGCAAGATTGTAAGTCCCATCATTACGCCCTCCAGTGGCACAGCGGTATGTCTGCGGACTTACAACTCTAGAAACTGGGTTTCGATACCTGTGGTAGGCAGAGCACAGATAGCCCATTGTGTAGCGTTGTGCTTAACTTCAAACAACAACACATCATTACTACTAATGACCACCCCTACTGACTGATGTATATTTAGCTATGACTGGAGTTATGAAATCTATGCATTTGAATAGAAAAATAACTTGATACATCTGGCATCATTATTAGATGGTTAATATATTTATATTAAATATTCTTTTTCTTTTTTTACATTAGTAAATATTTATCTGCTTATTCGATTAATAGGACACATCACACCTACTTGCAAGTAAGCTTTTTTTTGGACCCACATTTTTCTGTAACAAGTTTACTGTTGCGTAAAATTTGGGTTGCCTGATGGGCAAGTTAAGTTGCACATCGTAAGTTAATGATTTATTAAATAATAAAGTGGTATTACTCTGTAGACTTACTAGTCTGAGCAGAGCATCTTTCTTTACCACAAAGGTAGATATTGTTTCTGTATAAGTTACAACAAAGACACTGAATATGTAATCGGCATTCATCAAAACATTGACTTTCATGCAAATTCTGTGCAAAATGATACCCATGTATAGGTTTGAGAGCGTTCGCACATCTTTTGACTGTTCACATTTGTTTCCCTTCCATACTGTCAGTCAACCTCCAGTCTTTTTAAGACCATGCTATTTAGTAACGAGTATAAATAAGAGTATTTCACTTAACCTTACCTTTTTGTGCATACTTGCACCAAAATTTGTCTAAACTTTTTTGATGTCTCTTACTTGCTATATTGCCAAATTAATCTTCAGGAGACAGAGCTTTGACAAAGGGAGAAAGAAGAATATATGCTATTGGTTGAGAACTGCACTTCCAATAAAATGGTGAATCATTGGCTATGAAACATCATGTAGCAAGTCTGCATGAAGAGTGAACAACTCGAGAAAATCATGGCAGTATGTGTTTGAAAGTCACATGTTGCCAAATACTAAATGATTATCTTCAGAACTTATTTTTAATATGTGAAGTATGCACCATCAAGGCATACATTGTCATACATAAGGGGGCCCATTTGGATTTTTTATGCATCTGTGGTGCAAGGGTTGAAGGCCAGGGTTTTTAACATAAAATAGTCACATGCCAATATGTCATAAGAATGATCACAGGCAAAGTGATTGGATATATGGAAACCATTACTACAGATTGTGAACAACCAATATAAATGACACATCAATACAATGGTATTACAGTATTCATTATAGATTTCTTGTTGAAATGTAGTGACTGGCAAGTGCAGCTCGCATCTCAAAATTGATCTTTTTCTTAAAATACTATATTAGTTTTCTAATGTGAAATTCTCCTATACCATGATTCTAAAAGGATAAAAAATGTGACATTTTAGTGCTTCAAAAATAGTTATATCTTTTTTTTTAACTATAAAGCAAAGGAAGGGAAGGCATGATTCCAGCAGAGAAAAACAAACAAAATACAGGTTTTTTCAGTGACTAGTTACCAGTTTCATACCAAGAGCTACTGAAGAAAATATAACAACCTGTTACCAGAAGTGGCCCAAGAACACAACATTCTCCTGTTACCAAAGGTCCTACCTCCCTTGGAACTATAAACAAGATAATTCATAATGGATTTAAGTCTGTAAAAGTGATACAAGAGCTGTATTCACAAGCTTCTCCCAAAGCACTTAAACTTTATGAGCACTATTTATCCATCTTGTGACAGATGGATCACATTGGGCAAAGTATATATGTACTTTAAGAGCCTATAAATGTGTGGGAAATTTATTATCTCCATTCTGATGATACAACATTTCAAAAATGGTGGAGAACATGCCACGAATGTTTCTCCAAAGGATTTATGGTGGTTGAAGGTTATGGTTATGATGGTTTTGAACTCTGGACAGCTGAATTATGTATATTATGAAGACTGACTGACATGGTTACACCACTGTACCATGAAGAAATGCTGTAATTATAAGAATTAAATGTTAGTAAGATATGACTATACATCCAATCAACATGTCATTTCCTGTACAAGATGCAAGTAAAAATGATAACTTGTGCTATACCGTTAACAAGTACTCTCATGGATTTTCTTTGAGTTGCTCAAATGGGCCCTTGTAAGTTATCTGTGCATATTTGATAGACTTGGAAAGCACCTAAGAGAAGACAACATTTACTTTATTGTATTGCACAAATGTTTTTTGTAGTGGAAATTGCTTTGCAGAGCAATAGTCGCTAGCTTGGGTCATCATGCTGAACACCATAGAAACTCATCGTTCTATAGTTACCACAGATCATGAACATCTTCTGGTAGATATGTTTATACCACAGAACATTCTATAATTTTAAAGGTAAGTAGCTAAGTATCTCAGTGGGTCAGTGATAAGTTTATGGAGTTATGATTCTATAACCTGGGGTTTAATTCCACATGATGGACAGAGCACTGATAACCTATTGTGTAGCTTTTCACTAAAACAACCAAACAAAAGCTTCGTGATCATCTGATAAAAGGCAAGGAGGTTCTGTTTCATTTTCACATATACCTCTAGTTTTTTTTTATACATTGTTTCTCATGAAACAGGAACATAGCCATATTCTTTCTTTCATTAATGAGCTAATACAAGTTTTATTTAAAGATAAAGCATTTTTATGTATAAGGCTTCATGTATCTTCTAAGTAAACATTTATGAACACTTAAGCAATGGTTTTGTGATTATCCCAACAAAAATACAAATTGTTGGTTTACCAATATTTTCCATAACTTTTTGTAGACTACTACTTTGATTTGTATTTAGGTGAAATTGCTGAAGGATGTTCTTGATGCTTGGAAACAAGAGGTTGAGAAAAAACCACCAACTCTTTCCATTGAAGATGCATATAAAGCATTGAGACTGAAACATGGGGAAGGGTAACTTGATTTTGTATTTTTCTGGTTAAAAAACTTTCTCTAAATTACAGAAAAATATGCATGTAACTGATTTGCAGTAAATCTTAATACTTTTATTTTCAATGATGCAATAAGAATTCCAGATTCTAGTTGAGTTAGCAAGGCTTGTATATGTACATACTTTGTAATTGATTTCATTATATTCACGGAATGGTCCTATTGATGAGACTTGTTAATCCCATAATTTTTTCTCGGTGGTTTGAAACTCAGTAGTTTAAACATATAATGCGATTCGTAGCTTTTTGAAACTGATGCTTCAACCAAACTGGCTAGAATGTATGAAATTTGACTGTTGATGATAAATACAAAGAAAATTAATTTTCCAACAATATTGGCAAGAATCATGGATATGTGTTAGTACCATTCTGCAAATAAATCTAAAAATTAGATCCTTTGTTTGCTCATTTTTATAGGATATTTGATAATATATATATATATATCTATATATATTTATATATACATATAACTATTTAAAAGTTGACCCTAATTTGTTAGTTTTGACCAGAAGTGGCCCAAGAACACAAGAACCTCCATTGTAACTGTAAACAAGATAATTTATAGTGTGTTTTTAATATATTCTGAAATCAATTCAGTGGAAATATTTTTAGGACTTGTATTTGATTTGAACCTGTTTTCAGCAGTATTTGTTATAAAATGGCACATGAGTCATGGTTGGTCAAAACGTGCCAAATACCTGACTTTTTCCTGGGCTAAACTTTTGTTGGATTAAACTTAATTTTTATGTCAGTTTCTTAAGCAAAAAAAACATTGCATTGGAGAAAAGAAGAAGTCATCATGTCTATGTATATGTAGACATACATATACACACACATCTATATATATATATATATATATA